GAGGACTGACGAGAAGATACTGGAGCTGGAAGAAGAGGTAGACAAGTTGCGCTGGCATATTATTGGATTATCCGAGGTCCGAAGGGAGGGATACGGCAATCCTAGAGTCCGGCAACTTGTTCTACCACCGGGAGGGCGACCATCTGTCCCAAGGAGGTGTCGGATTTATCGTCCACAAGTCTCTCGTCGACAACAACAAAAAGATTGGGAGTGCGTCGACGAGGGTCGCGTACCTGATACTCAGAATCACCAAACGGTATTCGCTGAAGGTCATACAGGTTTACGCACCAACCTCGGCACATCCCGATGAGGAGGTGGAGGAAATGTATGAGGATATTTCCAGAGCCATGCATTCCTCCAAAACCCACTACACGGTGTTGATGGGAGACTTCAACGCAAAACTAGGCACAAGAGAAAGCGGTGAGCTGAAGGTGGGGAAATTTGGAGTAGGGCAACGGAACCGAAGGGGCCAGCAGCTGGCCGACTTTATGGAAAAAGAGGGACTCTTTATGATGAACTCTTTCTTCCAGAAGCGGCCCCATAGGAAGTGGACCTGGTCGGGGCCCGACGGTTCGACAAAAAAAGATTGACTTCATTATGACTACCAGACGCCAACTGTTCAGTGATGTCTCAGTGATCGCAAGGGTGAAAACTGGCAGCGATCACCGAATGGTTAGAGGCACACTGAACCTAAATGTTAAGTTGGAGAGGTCTCGTCTAATGAAGTCAACGCTCCGTCCCCCTCGTGCTCTAATCCAGAATCCCGAAACCTTTCAGCTCGAGTTACAAAACCGCTTTCAGTGCCTAGAGGATTGCAATGCAGTGGACGATATGAATGACAAGCTCGTGGAAACTGTCCATGCGGTCGGAGCTAAGTTCTGCAAGACCCGCCGCAGAAGAACACAAAAACTCTCCGATCACACTCTTAATCTCATGGCTGTCAGACGGGAGATGAGGCTGCAATCGTCAACAGATTTGACAGCATACAGACAACTGAACAGACGGATCTCCAAATGCATGTGGCGAGACTTACGCAACTTTAATACTGCTCGTATTAAGGAAGTGATCGAGCGGAACCAGGGCTCCAAAGTCTTTGCCAGATATCTGTATGCCAGAAAGAGCCAACTGTCAAGGCTGAACACTGAGTGTGGCAACATCGTTTCCGGGATACCTGAGATTCTGAGTGAGATTGAGAGGTTCTATGGGCAGCTGTACACATCATCGTTGGAGCCACACGCAAGTGTGAGTAACGATCCAAGAGCAAGTCTTATCCGACACTGTTCCGATGATATCCCGGACGTCAGTCTGAGCGAGATTAGAATGGCTCTCCACCACCTTAAAAACGGCAAGGCCCCGGGCGAGGATGGAATTACAGCGGAGCTTCTGAAAGCGGGTGGAACACCGGTACTTGAAGTCCTTCAGAAGCTCTCCAATTCCGTCCTCCATGGTGGCACTACTCCGGAGACGTGGAGCAGAAGCGCGGTGGTCTTGTTCTTTAAGAAAGGCGACAACGCTCTCTTGAAGAACTACAGACCGATTTCCTTTCTGAGCCGCGTCTACGTGCTGTTTTCGAGAGTCATTACGAATCGTCTCGCACACAGACTCGACGACTTCCAGCCTCTCGAACAAGCCGGTTTCCGAAAAGGCTTCAGTACCATAGACCACATACATACCCTTCGGCAAATTGTACAGAAGTCCGAAGAGTACAATCTGCCACTTTGCCTGGCGTATGTGGACTATGAGAAAGCCTTTGATTCCGTCGAAATTTGGGCGGTGCTACAGTCTCTTCAGCGGTGCCTAGTTGACTGTCGGTATATTGAAGTTTTGAAGTGTTTGTGCAGTAGGGCTACGATGGCTATCCGAGTACAGAACCAGAGTACGAAACCTATCCAACTGCAGAGAAGTGTAAGACAGGGTGATGTTATATCCCCGAAACTCTTCACCGCTGCGTTGGAAGACGTTTTCAAGCTACTCTACTGGAAAGGATACGGTATTAACATCAATGGCGAGTACATCACTCACCTTCGATTTGCCGACGATGTAGTCCTTATGGCAGAATCGCTGGAGGACCTTAGCACTATGCTCAATGACCTCAATGGTGTCTCCCAACGGATAGGTCTTAAGATGAACATGGATAAAACAAAGATCATGTTTAATGTCCATGTCACACCTATGCCGGTAGTTGTTGGGAGCACTATGCTCGAAGTTGTTGACGAGTACGTTTACCTGGGACAAATAGTCCGACTAGGTAAGTCAAACTTCGACCGAGAGGTCAATCGACGGATTCAACTCGGCTGGACAGCGTTCGGGAAATTACGACACATCTTCTCGTCAGGTATACCTCAATCTCTGAAAACTAAAGTGTATAACCAGTGCGTGTTGCCAGTGATGACTTACGGATCTGAGACGTGGTCCTTCACCGCTGGCCGTATGAGGACGCTCAAGGTCGCTCAGCGAGCTATGGAGAGGGCTATGCTCGGAGTTTCACTGCGTGATAGACTCAGAAATGAGGATATCCGCAGTAAAACCAGAGTGACCGACATAGCCCAACGGATTAGTAAGCTGAAGTGGCAATGGGCCGGCCATATAGCTCGAAGAACCGATAACCGATGGGGAAGAAAGGTTCTCGAGTGGCAGCCTCGTACCGGTAGGCGTAGTGTAGGGCGACCCCCCACTAGATGGAGTGACGACCTGGTAAGACATGCAGGAAGTCGATGGATGCAGGTGGCTCAGGACCGTGCTTTGTGGCATTACTTGGGGGAGGCCTATGTTCAGCAGTGGACTTGTGAAGGGCTGTAACGATGATGATGATGATGACGTATCATCCTTGGTAGGAATCGATGTTCTTTCGCGAGGATTTGTGGTCTATCAAATCTGATGTAATGGTTGGGCCCACATAGAATATGATCGCAAACTGCAGACTTCCCGGAACGTTTATGCTTCACGTCAGCTATGTGTTCTTTAACGCGGGTTCTAATTGGTCTCTTTGTTTGCTCTATATATGAGAGACCACAATCACAATCAAGCTTGTACACTCCTGCATCTTGTAGAGGAATATGACACTTACTGCACCTGTTACCTCAAGGTTCTACAAGCGGTACGTAGACGATACTTTCACAATTTTACCATCAGACAAAGTAACTGCATTTTTAGAACATCTTAATTCCATAAGCCCTAAAATTCAATTCTGCACGACAACAAGCTTCGGGTCCCGCGCCTCCGTCACAGTGACCGAGTGAAGCCGGCCACAGTCGAGCGTGTGCCTGCTATAGTAGTATAGCGTGACACCTCTGACATATATATATATATATATATATATATATATATATATATATATATATATATATATATATATGTCAGAGGTGTCACAGACAACATCTTGAAGCGAGCTTCTATTAGAACATTCTACAAGCCGCCGAAGAAGATTAGTCAGTTCTTACCATCCGTCCAGTGTCATATTCCTCTACAAGATGCAGGAGGGTACAAGCTTGATTGTGATTGTGGTCTCTCATATATAGGGCAAACAAAGAGATCAATTAGAACCCGCGTAAAAGAACACATAGCTGACGTGAAGCATCAACGTTCCGGGAAGTCTGCAGTTTGCGATCATATTCTAGATGGCCCCAACCATTACATCAGATTTGATAGACCACAAATCCTCGCGAAAGAACATCGATTCCTACCAAGGATGATACGTGAGGCTATTGAAATTAAAAAAATCCTAATTTTAATAGTAATTTTTTGTGATATTACCGTGAGAAAACCGATTTTAGAGATTCTTTTTTAACTTCCCGCTAAGAAAATTGAAAATTTTGAAAAATCGGGAAGTTATTGTTTTACCCTGTTTTTGGAAAATTTAGTTTTCATCAAATGTGTGCGTGTATGTGTGTGTGGATGTATGTAAACCTCTTATAACTTTTGAACACCTTAACCGATTGAAATGAACTAAGCGGATTTCCAAAGTGTTTCATCAACTTAGATTTGGTAGAACAAAGGTTAAAATCTGATAAGTTTTTAAAATAAAAATTTTAAAAACTTATCAGATTTTAACCTTTGTTCAAGGGATTAATACTTCGTTTACATCATGTCTTAGCAGTCGGCGTTTAGTTTTTATTAAATGTTTATTTTTTAACTTTCTCAATTTATTTTTTTTTTCCTTAGAAACGCTTAGTTTTCAAAACGTGTAACTTGTTTCAAGCTATTCTATAGTAACATACTTGACATTATTTTTTTAAATATTGGAAGTGCTTGACTACTATCCTACCTGATAGTAAGTCGCATTGCTGATGAAGACGGAAACGCACACACTAATTAAGAGCTGATAGAAGGAAACTAACCTGAGAATGAACCTGAATAACCTGGATATAGCAACTATGGCAAATATTCAGGGGGGATGTGGTGGGTTGGCATATGGCAAATATATCAATCCGCTTGCTAAATGTGGCAACTACGGCAGATATCCCTCCAACAAGGCAATCAATGGGATAAGTATATGATCAGCAGTGTAATTTCAATAGGCTGTAACAAAAAACTAGACGTCTTTTAAATATAATATCAATTTAGGCTAGCATTTGAACTTAAGAAAATGTTAGAGATAATCAGCACTACGCAAGCCTTCCTAAACGTGTTTCATCACGTCTATTTCCGTTTAAATTGCTACTTTTCAAACAGGGAATGATAGTAAATTGACATTTGACAATATTTAAAATAAATATGTTGAAAGTTAATTAACGTCATAAAATAAAATAATGTGTCTTATGTAGGTTGGAGTGTACCTTCCGCTCTACCTCAATTACATGTTTTATTCCCGTCTCTCTCCACTAATCCTAACACAACACTAGTACCATCACTGTGTTGAAAAGACTCACCACCGTCGATAATACGACACGTGTCTAGCCTTCTTTAGAGGGAAAACACGTATCAATATTGCCTTCAGGTGAAGTAGACTCTGCGGTAGCTGACCGCTGTATATATAATAATTTATTACAGTTGGTCCGACGTTACAAGCGAAGTATCCGGCTGTGATTTTCATTCACGGAGAGTTTTCTGAATGGAATTCGGGTAACGTTTACGACGGAGTAGTATTGGCCAGTTACGCCGGTCTTGTGGTCATCACTATCAACTTTCGACTTAGAATACTGGGTAAGATGTTTCCAATTACAGGAAAGCGAAAAATTTGATTTAGAACATGTTTTCATTAATTATTACCCAGGCATTATTTTGCTGACGTTCTTCATACCTAACGATTTACAAGGTTTCATGAGTGTATCTAGTAAATAATTTCAAAGCTGGCAAAAGACTAGGAGATAGGATTTTCGGAATAAGAGGCCGACAGAGTAAATACGATCTACTATTTGGAGTAGTAACGAGTGAGATGTTTTGGAAATTTTCGGAGCAGGATATACGACATGATATGGCACAAAAACGGTTTCGAGGGGAGAGACGTGACAGGATAATAAGGTACGTAGAACGTTTGTAAAGCGAATTGACATTTAATTTGCCGTGAAATAGCGTTTTCCCATTTGATTTTCTGTTTTTATAGTTTGTTATATCTTCTTTGCTGTATTGACTCATTTAAATATACTTAAACTAAAACTCAGTGCGAGTTAGAGATTGAAAACTCTGAAAATCTTCAAAATAACGGCTCGGCAGCAGCGTAAGAGAAACCACTACCCCATATCACCCCATTGGGTGTCGGAAGAGGTGACAAAGGAAAAGAAAATATGGGATGAACAGGAGAATATTCCTGATAGTAACTGAAAAAATTCTGCTTGCTTGTCGGTTCCGACGCGTGATTGGAGTTTACAACTAAAAACGATTGTCTTATATATATATATATATATATATATATATATATATATATATATATATATATATACGTATATATATATACATATTATATAGTAGGAAAAGTTAGTAAATGAACCCATGTATTTATTTATATTGATTTGATAAAATATATCACATAAAAATATGACTTTTTGTTCATTTTGCACTATGAGATGCGTAAGTATGTTGCTCACAGGAAAACTATAACGGCTTCACTTTTTGTTTACGCTTGGTTTTATACAAACCATCTATTTTTCATACCGTGGGCTATATAACATGAAACGATTCTGAAGGAGTAAACTCCAATAAGCTCAAATAATTAAAAACTGGTTTACATAATGATTTCTTATATTTACGCGAATACTATACATGATTAAAACTACTTTTACGGATTTTATCGCGTTTATTTTTACTTTTTATTTACTTTTATTTTTAATTCCCGACGTTTCGGGCGCTTTCCAGCACCCATGGTCACGGGGGGACTGAGATGACTGACGTCCCGATGTCATTGTTAAACCCGGAGTACCTTCAGCTTTTTTAATTATTGTTTATGGTCCGATCTATGCAAAATGAACTGACTGTGTCTTGAGGTCTTGCAGTGGTATGCTTGGGTTTAGTTTTAATTTTATTGATTATAGGATCCCAAGCAGGTGGTAGTACCCAGCCTCCTTCTCTATTGAAATTAGGATGTTTTTTAATTTCAATAGCCTCACGTATCATCCTTGGTAGGAATCGGTGTTCTTTCGCGAGGATTTGTGGTCTATCAAATCTGATATAATGGTTGGGTCCGTGTAGGATATGATCAGTCAGGGAAGTCTGCAGTTTGTGATGGGTGCTGGAAAGCGCCAGAAACGTCGGGAATTAAAAATAAAAGTAAATAAAAAGTAAAAATAAACGCGATAAAATCCGTAAAAGTAGTTTTAATCATCAATTAAAAACTGTTTCCAGCTATATCGGTTTGAGGGATCTGTATAATACAATTAAGGAAAAATAAAAGCAATTTGCAATCACTCTCATAATATTTTTCTCTATCAGCTCGTAATAATCCCCTACTACACAAGAATGAACCTTTTCTGCCATTTCCGCAGTCACCAAAAGTCACCGCATACGACACTCACGGGAAATAATGAGGTACAGAGTTTATTAAAACTGCTAAAACACGGGAGTCCTGTCTTTAAAAATAAAGTATACCGTAATTTAATAGAAGTCATGAGGTCTTTCTACTACATCCACGGAACGAAATGGAGTTTTACTCTTATGCTGCCACTAAACGGCATACTTTCATAAAGAATACGACCACTATGATCACAATCATTACCATTTTTTTTGGGGTATCTGTATAGTTTTCTCATCTGGTTGGTTTCTATAAATATATAATTATAAATTAAAATGAAAAGATAAATATACATAAATATCAATAAAATAAAATAAACACAAAAAATACACAAATAAATAAAGATCCAACCAGATGGAAGCCCTCGGCAGGGGAGACCAAACGGCCGAGGGTTAGGGGGAAAGGGAAAGAAACCGACGGACGATGCGGGCGGTATCGAGGACCACTGCCTTCTGCATTTGAGCCCGGAGCGGTCCGTCACGGAGTCCCAGTCGCCTCAGATGACCCGAGAGGCTGACTGGGATTAGCCCGTTTGCAGAGACGACTACAGGAATAATTTCGGTCGGCAGACCACCCCACATGTCGGTCACCTCGTGAGCCAGGTCCAGATATTTTGTTTGCTTATCTGTTTCGGCTTTCACGAGGTTCTCGTCATACGGAATGGTAATGTCGACCAAAAATATCCTTGACTGTGCCCGGTCCATCAGCACAATATCAGGCTTATTTGCAAGAATAGTCCTGTCTGTGATGATGGCCCGGTCCCAGTAGAGCCTGGCGCGGTCATTTTCGAGCACGGCTTCCGGCAAGTACTTGTAATACGGCAATTTCCGGTCCACGAGACCGTATTTCAGAGCGAGCGCCTGGTGTAGAATTCTGGCTACTAGGTTGTGCCTGTGCAAGTACTCAGAGTTAGAAAGCGCCGAACAACCGGAGATGACATGTCTAAGTGACTCCCCGGGATGGCGACAAGCTCGACAGACGTCGACGGTGCCATCCTTTAGGATGTATCTCCGATAGTTGTTGGTCTTAATAACCTGATCCTGTATTGCACAGACAAAACCCTCGGTTTCCCCCGAAGAGATCACCGAAACGTAGCCAGTTGAGGGAGGCGACTGTATCTACGAAGGGCTCATGTAGAACCCTGTAGTACCTCCCGTGGAGCTCCTTCTCCTTCCATACGGTCTCCCGGTCGGAAATGCTAAGCACTGCTGGGTCCTGCCATTGCTCGTTGGCCAAGGATAGAGGGGTAAGCCCTTTATCACTAGAAATGACGTCATTATAGAATGGATCATCCGATCTCGCCAGGAAGTAATGACGGAGGCTGCACACTTCACGATTATGCATAGCTTACCAGGAGTTGTTAAAAGGAATATTAGTAATGTTAATTAATAAGATTACTAATATTTTATTTAAAAATAAAAAAAATAAAAAAAAAAATAAAAAAAATAGTGAGCGCGCTTAGAAAGCCACGCCCACCATGCTTTCGCGGCAAGTACAGCCTCATTACCGACGATCTCGGATGATGCATCCTATGGGACGTCATGGTAGTGCGGACTTTTCTATCCAGGGCGTTAAGTTCAGTCTGAGTCCACCTGAGTATGCCAAAGGTATACATAAGGACAGGCATGACCCAACCGTTATATGCGTGTGTCTTATTCACACCGGACAAAAGGCTATTAAGCACTTTGGTCAAGCGTGCATAAAACACGTCGCAAACTGACTGTTTCACACCAGCCTCATCGATACCGATGTTCTGTGACATACCCAGGTATCGGTATGTTTCAGCCTCGGAAAGGGTCCTTAAGTTGACGGGCATAGATAAATCTATGCCCTCAGAGTTAGCAACCCTTCCCCTCTCAACATGGAGGACCGCACACTTATCCGTCCCCAGCTCCATTCCAATGGAACTGCTAAACTCACAAGTGATTTTTAGCAATTCCACAAGATGGGAGCGACTGGAGGCGAATAACTTAAGGTCATCCATATAGAAAAGGTGGGTCACTTTTGTCCCTCCTTTCCGTAGCTGAAATCCTCTCCCGGATCCCTCCAGTAAGGTACTGAGAGGGTTCAGGGAGAGGCAGAACCAGATTGGACTCAGACAATCGCCCTGGAAGATACCCCTTCTTATCCTTATGTGGTTCTCCGCAGCCATCATCCGCTCACACAGATGACAAAGGATCGTACTCCACTGCCCCATACACAGCTCGAGGAAGTCTCTCACTGTACAGTCTTCTTGTACAGCTCGAGGACTCTCTTTAGCCATGTATGGGGCACCGAGTCGAATGCCTTTCTGTAGTCTATCCAGGCGGCGGAGAAGTTCCGACGGTTGCGTTTCACCACTTTGCCAATGACCGCGTCAATGAGGAGTGGTTCCTTAGTTCCACGACCACCGCCCCGACATCCATTTTGAGCGCGTGACATCACCTGATTTAGCTCCAGGTGACGAGTGATTCTCGCGCTCAAAATGGATGTCAGTGTCTTATATATGGTGGGTAGACACGTAATGGGGCGGTATTTGCTCGGGTCTGTGGTAACCTGGTCTTTAGGAACCAAATGAGTGATCCCAGTAGTGAAGAGGCTAGGGAGCGACTTCTGGTTGAGAGCCTCTTGAAACTGACGGGCGAGCACAGCGTGACACACCATGAACCCCTTCAGCCAGTAGTGATGCAGTCCGTCGAGTCCCGGACTTTTCCAGTTCGGGGCTCTACGGACCGCCTCAGCTACGTCATCCGGCGTTATGATGACGGGGTCCATGGGCGTAATACTCGCACACTGACTCGCCACAACTTCCGTCCAAGGGCCCTCGCTGTGGTTTACGGGCTCTGACCACAGGCCACGCCAAAATGCGACAGTGTTAGCCTGATCCGGTCCTGGGCCCGCTCCACATACCTCTGGTCGCTCCAATGATTTGTAGAGCCTCTTCTGATCACTCTGGAAGAGACGATTCTGGTTGAACCGCCTTGACCTCTCGGTAAATCGGCGAATCCGCTTCCCCCAAGCGGCAATCTTTTGCTTCAGGTCGTCTATGCGCTCCGTTAGTTTCTGCGTGATATCCGGCTGGGACAAACTGATATTTGTCCCAGCAAACGCCATTCTAACGGTGCGCACAACCCTCGGTCTATTATTACCCGACCTGAAGCTTATCAGTCTGCCGATAAGGGCCCTTGCCTTTGCGATACGGTCCTCAATTCTTTTTCTCTAGGCTGGGATGGCGCTACTTTGTTTAGTAGCGCGTCCAGCCATGGGAAGTTTGGCGCCAATAATACGGCAAGCTGCCACTGCGGCGCCAAAAAGAACTGAGTCCGTCTCGCAAAGGTCCCGGCTGGCTTCCAAATAGGTTACCAGCATTGGGTTAAGAGCCCTCACGACAGCCCGATTTCGCTTGCTTAGGGGTATGCGGGGGAAGTCGCGGTCGATTTTCGAGAGGCATGCTGCGCGTTTCTAAAATCGCCTCTTCCAATATACTCCTCATTTGCTCTAGTTCGTGGGAGACCATTTCATCATCGTCTGAATCACCCACAACTGGAAGATCCATGGCGGCTTCTACTCGTGGCAGCTGGTCTGTCGCCTGAGGAGCCTCATCCCCAGCCGTAGCCAATTCATTCGATGAGGGAATGGCCTCACGTCGTAGTCGTTCGAGCTCGGCATCATCGAATATTTTCGAGCGCATGATGTACCGAACTCGGTCTGCCAGGTTTTGTTCCGTGACGGGAATAGACGGCTCCAGCTCAGCAAAAAAGCAATGCATCCGAGCCCGATACGCTATCCCCGCAGTTTCTTCCCCTTTCGCCCTATAGTACGCCCGCATTGCGTTTGCGTTCATATCCCTTGTCCAACGCATGCGGCGCACTCCACCAGCGGCGGATGCCGCTTGCCGAGTCCGAGAGGACCCTGCCGACATCAAGCCGTCTGGTGGGGATGATGGATGCGGGGGGCTGTTAGGTGATCTTGCAGCTCCTCGCGCTCGGCTGGCGGCCCGCATGCTGCCGCGTCCAGCGCCAGCTCCAGACGCGCCCCGGCGACCCCCAGGCAGCGGCCCTATACGTTTTCCAATCTTATCCATCATCCATTTTTGGGCGCCAATTAGCGGGAGACGCCCAGGCCCGGCACCGTTTTATTGTATCATTGTACGGCCGTAAGCACAAACGGGCCTTTGCATCCTGAGTACTGCCGAGGCACGGCGCTCACACCTCTTGGTAAGGCGCTGACTGACTGCACCGACGTAGCAGTTTTGTCACTTAACTGTTTCGTCAGCGGGCGATGGGGTCGTCACTTCCCTACGCCTTATTATTATTATTATTATTACAGCCCTACACAAGTCCTTCGCCAAAGAAAATCTAAAAAACAAATGTCTTCCCCAAAGATGGCACAAAACATGATCCTCAGCCACCTGCATACATTGAATTTAAATATTTACTTATTTGATATTGATATATTGATTGTTAAATCAAGATTTATTATTTGGTATTCTTTTATCTACATTTGCTCAGATGAAGTAAAAAAGGTAGATACAGCGTGGCCTTTGTTATTAGTGAATCCAAAAAACCCCGCTCCTTTATGTAAGCACACGCGTTCACGCACACATATGCATCAAACCACGTTCATTTTCGCTCAGTACTTCCCGGGGCGTCGTGCAATAAATTTACCTACAAAATGCCGTCCTGTGTAGTTAAATGGTGCAAAAACAATACTAAAGTGAACAAAAAGTCTGAATCAATATCGTTTCACTCGTTAACACTCATTTAACTATATTTTAATTTGTTATTCCAACACAATTTTGAAGGTTATTCGAATCACGAATGTCAATGTTTCAAGATTACGTAACAGGAGAATGTTGCCAATATATCTTATTTCTAATGGTCAAAGGTTTGGGTAATTAATTTAAGGCTAAGTTATAAAATATATGTAGTGAGCATTTTTTTAATTAGTTGTTATTATGTTACATCAAATTGAAGTCAAGGTAAATATTTATTTTTTAAGTCGCTGTAGTATTTGTTTTAATTGTTGAGTACTTACAAACTATTTTACTATCAAAAATATTTATGATTTTAGGCTACCAACGAATATTTTAATAAGACATGAATTTTTTACGTGGTATAGAGCCATGCTGCAGTTATACTATTAGTAGTATAGTTATAGCATGAATGGGTCGGCTCGACCGGCGAAGGACCATGCTTTCACATAATACCAGCGCTAAATAATAGCTTAATGTTGCTGTGCTTGATATGGTGAGCGTAGAGAACTGGACATCCTTTTTTGTAAAAACGAGGCATTCCATCTTAGTCCTCACGGGTGACAACAAATCTGCATTTTAATTCGTAATCGAAGATATATACATATTATGTAGATGTCTATGCCACAGCAACCACTTACCATCAGGTGGACTGTGTGCACGTTTTTACCCTATCCTATAAAAAATGAAGGGTAGCTGCTATAAGACACTGAAATGAACTAAAATGGCAGCCATCCTCTTGACCTTAACAGTGGTAGAGCGACGCAGCGGCTATTGATGTCGCATGGATGGCCCGGCTTGAACCGGGGTGGTACCACGACCTCACAGAATACTTGCGTGACGTAGAGGCTTACCTCTGCGTTTCGCTTGGGCAGGAGGCCCAATTTCCCCTCCCACTTAACATCGTAGCGGAATCAAATAAAAATTATCCCAAGAGGGCACCCTCACTCCTGGTGACGGAGAATCCCTCTTTGAGCATCCACGACCAAGTACTTTACTCCTCCTGAGCGTGGGTGCTTAGGCTGCTACGCGTATTCTGAGGAAGGGGGTGGGGCGAATTCTGCTCGCGAACTGCTAGGGGCAAGCGGAGCAATAAGACCAAGGCAAACCCTGTGACGCTATCCGTGAATTTTTCCAACATCAGGACACTTCATTCCAATATTAATGCTGTCCACTACCACCCCGAAACGGTGAAGCCGGCCTTGCTCTTTTTAACCGAGACTCAGGTGTCCTCTCCGGCTGATACTTCATATCTCTCCTACCCGGGGTACAAATTAGAACACTCCTTTGTGCCCCCCGGCTGGAATTTGTTTTATTTTGCATTTACTAAAGTATACTTTTTTCATTTAGAAAAGTATGTTTTAATTCCATGGAAATTTATTTTTTATTCCAACTAGTTTTTTTTTTAGTATAAAATTATTTTTTAATAAACATGTTTTACATTACATATGTTGTATATTTTATCGATGCTTATGCTACTCACTGGACAATCTATCAAGAAAACTTTTAAATGATCTACAGACGCCTCCTACGTGCTTCATCTTTTTTTGAATTGTCAAATTGTTGAAATTTATTAAAACAGACAGATATACTTTTGCATTCGTATCGCATATTACTCCTGTAGTTGTAATATTGTATCTCGATTTTCAGGGACTTTAAAAAAAAAGTGGCAAAACTTTCTGACTCACACAAAGTTATAAAATTGGTTACAGTTTCTTGTTCTAGGTGCGATATCTACCTTTTTTTTACTTCATCTGAGAACGTTGTATGACAACATATGTTGGAAATGCTTACACATATCATTCCGAAATATTCTATACAATTGTCAACGAGTACAGCGACTGGGAAAGAACAATACAGGTACGAATAATTTTGATTTTTATAACTATATTATGTGTTACTAAAAATCATAGATTCACTAAATATGTTTTATTTCTTGGATTATATACTTAACGTTTTGCCTCGACTCCAAGATATTTAATTTATTAATTCATTCATTACATTCTGAATATAGGTCATAGATCCATAAATTGCATACGGGATACGTACCATATTTGCCACGCTTGGCAGGCGGTTAGCAGCCATAGTTTTATTATTTCCTGTGGTTATCAGGAAGGTTCCGCTGCCCATTTTCGATCTAATTTCCGTCTGTCGCCTCTTATGACACCTACAGGATGATAATATGAGGAGGTGCATTTTCTTACGCCACCACTAAAAGGCGCAGGAAGCACATACATTTTTTCTTTAAAAATTTCACCGAATGGAATGTGTCGTAAATCTTTGAATAACTTAAGACAGTACGTAAAAAATAAAAACAGAACGTTACCTAATATAAACAATTCCTTTTACTGATATATACTTACAAAATATCTAAAACACCCTTCATTCAGAAACGCAGCGGTGCTAGCACTCTCAGATGCTCAACATGTCGCTTCGCTTGTTCAGAATGAAGATTTTTTTAGTTCAACTGAGTCCGGTGCGAGTACATTTTTTTTTACGTCTTTGATTATTAAACTAAAGATAGACATTATCCACAGGCAACTTAAATATAAATATTAGTTTAATACCTACCATAAAATTGTTTATTTATTTTTAGATTTTAATTTTATATCCTTATAAACAAAACTCATACTATGTGCTCATTGTATTTTCGTACATCGTTATATTGTGTATTCGTAATTGAAAAATCCGTTAAAATTCTAGAGCGTGGGTTCCGAGCATGGAGTTGAGCTGCCCTAGTTATTCGGGGTGCCGCTAGTTGAAGTTGTCGGACACTTTCCAAAGGATTATACAAAATCCGAAGTAGCACTTTCGGAGGCTTTCATCTTGTGGTTTAAGATATATATTTCTCTATTATTTCTCTAACACACCTGTCGCTCCGCAGGAACCGCCGATAGTTTAGGTAATTTCTTTTTACAGTGAAAATAATGATATTTTAAAAAAAGTAAATAACATAAGCACTGCTTTATGGTTAGTTCAGTTAGTATGCAAAGTTTCATGATCTTATTTAAAGTATTTTATGAATAACAGCGGTTTATTGTTCAGTTTGGAGGTAACTTTGGATTTTTTTTTCTATCGAGAAAATTTTACGGAATCGTGTTTTCGTCTAACATAAACCTTAACATTAATCCTCAACTTTACCATATATTTATTTCAAAATTAATGCTGCAATACTTTCGGCATAACGGAGGATCTTGCTAAGCCATTTGAGGTTATATTTCCCCTTAATTAATCGAATTTACGTTGAACAATAGAGACTGGAAGTGACATTATGCATTCTTGATTGAGCGCAATTATTACTTCGTCAATGGTTTAATGATAAATAATAAATGACCTAATGAAATTTAATAATTATATCTGT